GGGGTTTCACCGTGTTAGCCAGGATGGTCTCGATCTCCTGATCTCATGATCCGCCCGTCTTGGCCTCCCAAAGTGCTGGGATCACAGGCTTGAGCCACCGCGCCCGGCTAACTTTGTGTATTATTAGTCACTGTTAGTCTTTTTTTTGTTTTTTTTTTTGAGACGGAGTCTCACTCTGTTGCCCAGGCTGGAATGCGGTGGCGAGATCTCGGCTCACTGCAACCTCCACCCCCGGGGTTCAAGGGATTCTCCTGCCTCAGCCTCCCGAGGAGCTGGGATTACAGGCGTGCACCACCACACCCAGCTAATTTTTGTATTTTTAATAGAGACGGGGTTTTACCATGTTGGCCAGGCTGGTCTTAAACTCCTGACTTCAAATGATCCACCTGCCTCGGCCTCTCAGAGTGCTGGGATTACAGGTGTGAGCCACTGTGCCCGGCCTAGCACACGATTTTGAACACATTTTTCTTCATTGTTTTCTAGTAGTCAACATCCAGTGATGAGAAACTGAATGTGCTTCTAATTTTTCTCTCCTCCCCCTTTTACATGCTTTTAAGACCATCTGGTTATCCCTAGTGTTTTGATGTTAGGATGATGGGTCTGTGTTTGGTACTTTTTCCATTCATTTTTTAAACACTCAGTGGGTGTTTTCAGTCCAAAGACTGAAAAATTCTCTTGACATTTTCCTCCACTATTTGTTTTCTCTTGTGGAAATTCCTGCTGGATGCATGTCTGGAGATTCTATTTCTTATCTTTTCTCTTGTATTTTTCATCTTTTTGTCTTTGTATTCTTTCCTGGAGTGTTCTTCAACTTTTATGTTACCAACATTTGATTGCCAGTCATGTCAGCTATTATATTTTTAATTTTTAAGACCTCTTATTCTCTGATTGTATTTTTTTTTTCATAGCATCCTGCTCTTGTTTGGTGGATGCCATATGTCTCAAATCTCTGAGACAAATAGCTGGGCTTTCCTTTTGGAAATGTTCTCCTTTTGCCCTGCCCTGCCTCCTCTCCCCTCTCTTCCCTTTCCCTTTTCTTTCTTTTATTTTCTTTCCTTTCTTTTTTCTTTTCTTCTTTTTTTTTTGACAAGGTCTCACTCTGCCACCCAGGCTGGAGTGCAGTGGCACAAACATAGCTAACTGCAGTCTCAACCTTCTGGGAACTCAGGCAATCCTCCCACCTCAGCCTCCCAAGTAGCTGGGATTACAGGCACACACCACCATGCCCGGCTAATTTTTGTATTTTTAGTAGAGGGGGGTTTTGCCACATTGGCCAGGCTGGTCTCGAACTCCTGACCGCAAGTGATCTTCCTGCCTAGGTCTCTCAAAGTGCTGAGATTACAGGTGCGTGCCATCGTGCCTGGCCTGTTCTCCTTTTCTTTACATTATCTCAGTTTCCCCTGATGTCATTTTTCCCCTGATTTATCTTTGACTGACTGTTTCAGGCTAGTGGTTATCTAAAATATCTGCTGGTTCTTTGTTCAAGTTTTTAAAAATTGAAGTCACTAGGTTGTAAACTCAGGAACATCTTAAATAACTAAATCATTCTGGTCAAGCTTAACGCTGGAACAATTATCTAAAATATTTGAATTACTAATGAAAGAGAATGAGATACAGATAGTATCAGGACAGGGGATGCATCAGATCTTATTATACTGATGAAGCTTGAGAGAAGACCCAGCCGGTGAACTTGAATGTTTTTCTTTGTAATCATTTTTCCTGAACGAGTGACTGACTGATCGCTTTTATTTTCCTAGGTGAGATCAAGTTAGAAATGCCAACCATCAGTGTGGAGGGAGAGGTGTCCGACCTGGCAGCTGACCCGGAAACTGTTGACATCTTGGAGCAGTGTGTGATAAACTGGCTGAACCAGATATCCATAGCGGTTGAGGGCCAACTGAAGAAGACACCTCAGGTAGTTTGTGTAGGGCTTTCAGAGAGCCCCGATCCAGGTCATGCTTACCATGCTGGGAAAGAGCCCAGAGTCTGGGGTCTGCATCGTCTGGCATCTTTTCTTACTGTTTTATGATTTCCGTAAGCCATCAAAATAAACACACCCAAAATACCACTTCTGGGCTTTCTGATGTTAATGTGCTACCAGGTTACTGCCTGGATTGATAAAGATAACACTTTAGATCAGTCGGGAAGCTTGGGCTGCCCAAAACAGGAAACCCAACTCAGTTTGATCAGCTAAGAAAGCAAATTCCTTGGCTCAGATAATGGAAAAGTCCAGAGGTAGGGTTGCCTTCAGGTCTAGTTTGATCAGGGCTCTGGCTAGGTTTCTCTCTGAATCTCGCAGTTCCAGACTCCTTTCTAGGGGCCGGGGAGCTTCATTCCTTAGGCTGGCTGCCTTGCAGCAGTTTCTGGCCTCACATCCGCACACCTCATCGTCCGGAGGAAAGCAGAGGGTGCTTCTAGCATTCCCAGCTGGAGCCCGGAGATTCACTCTGATTGGACCATGCTGGGTCAGGAGCCCACCCCTGAAGACCCTGAAGGATTGGACAGAAAGGAACGGATGCTGAGAAACCACCGAAGTGTCCGCTCCGCACTAATGATGAGAGTTCTTTGTGTGTTCGTTTCACCTCTCAGGGTAAAGGCCCTCTGGCTGAAATTGAATTCTGGAGGGAAAGAAATGCAACTTTAAGTGCTCTGCATGAACAAACAAAGCTTCCAATAGTCAGAAAAGTCTTGGATGTGATCAAGGAATCTGACTCCATGCTTGTGGCTAACCTGCAGCCAGTGTTCACCGAGTTATTCAAGCTCCACACGGAGGCCTCAGACAATGTGCGCTTTCTCTCCACCGTGGAGCGTTATTTCAAGGTACGCTGGGTGTGCTGCGCTTTGCAGTCAGCTCTGTCAAAGGGATTTCCTGTGATTTAATTTCCCTTTTAAAAATGTTCAGCATTTGGCCAGTAGAAGTGGCTCAGGCCTGTAATCCCAGCATGAGGTGGGCAGATCGCTCGAGCTCAGGAGTTTGAGACCAGCCTGGCCAACATGGTGAAACCCTGTCTCTCCAAAAAAATACAAAAATTAGCTGGGTTTGGTGGTGTGCACCTGTAGTTCCAGCTACTCAGGAGGCTGAGGTGGAAGGATTGCTTGAGCCTGGGAGATGGAGGTTGCAGTGAGCCAAGATTGCGCCACTACACTCCAGCCTGGGCAACACAGTAAGACCCTGTCCCAAAAAAAACCTCAGCATTTCAAAAACTGTGATAAAATAGACATGACACGATATTATCATTTTAACCACTACTAGGCGTACAGTTCAGTGGCACTAAATACATACACAATGCTATGTGTCCATTACACTATTTCCAAAACAGTTTCATCTTCCCAAACTGGAATTCTGTGTCCATTAAACACTAACTCCCCCTTCTTCCTTACCCTAAGTCCCTGGTAACTTCTGTTCTCCTTTCTGTCTTTGTAAATCTGACTACTCTAGGGACTTCATATAAGGGGGCCATGCAGGACTGATCCTGTGTGCAGTCTCTTTCATTCAGCATCATGTTTTCAACGTTCACCTGTATTGTAGCTTGGAACGTATTAGTGCTTCATTCCTTTCTATGGCAGAATCATATTCCATAGCATGGATAGACTACATTTTGTTCTCTCGTCATCAGTTGGTGAGCATTTGAGTTGTTTCTGCATTTTGGCTATTATGAAGAATGCTGCTACGAACATTCTTGTACAAGGATTTGTGTGGATGTATGTTTTTAATTATTCATGTATTATGCATAGGAGTGGAATAGCTGGGTCATATGATAACCGTTTAACCTTTTGAGGAATTTCTAGATTGTTTTCCAAAGTGGTTGTCCCATTTTACATTCTCAAGAGCAATACACGAAGGTTCTGGTTTTTCCATATCTTCACCACCACTTGTTATTGTCTGTGTTTCTGATAATAGCCATTGTGGTTTAATTTGCATTTCTTTAACAACTAGTGAGACTGAACAACTTTTTATGTACGTAACGTGCTTCTTGTCAATTTCATATTGTTGGTGAAATGTCTGTTTTAATCTTTTGCCCATTATTTATTTGAGTTATTATTATAAGAGATTAAAAAAAGTCTGCTCACCTGGGCAACATAATGCAACACCATCTCTACAAAAATAAAAATAAAAAATTAGCTGGTGTAGTGGCGCATGCCTGCATTCCCAGCTTACTTGGGAGGCTGAGGTGGGAGGATCACTTGAGTCCGGAGGGGAGTCAAGGCTGCAGTAAGCCATGATTGTACCATTGCACTCCAGCCTGGGCACCAGACTTGGTCTCAAAAAAAAAGAAAAAAAAAAAACAAGAGTGAAACTTCTTGCATGCTTACTGTTTTATGAAACTATTTGGACCCCAAGGCTAAGGGCTCTTGTGTGGCTCTCTCCTCTCTTGGTCAGAACATAACGCATGGGTCTGGCTTCCACGTGGTCCTGGACACCATCCCCGCCATGATGAGTGCCCTGCGGATGGTGTGGATCATCTCCCGACACTACAACAAAGATGAGAGGATGATTCCGCTCATGGAGCGCATCGCCTGGGAAATCGCCGAGAGAGTCTGTCGAGTGGTCAACCTGCGGACTTTGTTCAAGTAAGAAGCCATAGCGTTCATTTTTTTGTTTTGTTTTCACTTTTAACTTTTTAGATCTTAAACAGCTCTATTGAGCTATAATTCACATATAATTCTCTCACTTAAAATGTACAATTCACTGGCTTCTATGACCAGGCGCAGTGGCACACGCCTGTAATCCCAGCACTTTGGGGGGGCCAAGGTGGGCAGATTGCTTGAGGCCGGAAGTTCGAGACCAGCCTAGCCAACATGGTGAAACCCCATCTCTACTAAAAATTCAAAACTTAGCTGAGTGTGGTGGCGCATGCCTGTAATCCCAGCTTCATGGGAGTCTGAAGCATGAGAATTGCTTGAACCTGGGAGACGGAGGTTGCAGTGAGTGGAGATCACACCATTACGTTCCAGCCTGGGTGACACAGCGAGACTCTGTCTCAAAAAAAAAAAAAAAAAAGTACAATTCACTGGCTTTTAGTGTATTCGGAGAATTGTGCAGCCATAACCACTATCAATGTGAGAACATTTTCTTCATCTCTCAAAAGAAAACATGTGCCTTTTAGCAGTCACTCCCACCTCTCCCTAATTGCCCTAGTCCTGGGAACCATACAGAGTGGGGTCTTTTGCATATGAATGGAATCAGACACTATGTGACTTTTATGTCTGACTTCTTTCACTTAGCACCATGTTTTAAAGGTTCATCCACATTGTAGCATGGATCAGTGCTTCATTCCTTTTTATGGCTAAATCATATTCCATTGTATGGAGATATATTTCGTTTCACGTACATTTATGTGTGTGTGTGTACACACACATATACATATATATCTATATGAAATTTTGTTTTAACTGCAACGTTCTTCCCCAGGTGTACCTGGAGAGACTGAGGCTGAGGTGGAGCCACCTTCGAGGGTGTAGGGATGATAGAGGATGCTAAGGGAGACAGATAACTTTTTTCATTTTCTTACAAAATATCTATATAGATGAGGCCGGGCACGGTGGCTCACGCCCGTAATTCCAGCACTTTGGGAGGCCAAGGTGGGTGGATCACTTGAGGTCAGGAGTTCAAGACCAGCCTGGCCAACATGGTGAAATCCTGTCTCAACTGAAAGTACGAAAAATTAGCTGGGTGTTTTGGTGGGCGCCTGTAATCCCAGCTACTCAGGAGGCTGAGGCAGGAGAATCACTTGAACCCGGGAGGCGGAGGGTGCGGTGAGCCGAGATCGTGCCTATGTCTATATCTATATCTATCTCATCATCTATCAGGATCTATCAGATCTATCAGGATATCCATGTAGATCTGTCTATATGTTTCTAGATAGATATCTATATTTACCTCTATCTATACAGATAGGTATCTATGTCTATCTCTATCCATCTATACAGATAGGTATCCATGTCTATGTATATGTATTTATATAGATAGTATATAAATGGAATCAGACACTGTGTGACTTTTTATTATCTATAGATATCTATATCTATATGTATCCATATCTATATATAGACCGATCTCTCTCTCTGTATCTACCTATATAGCTGGATCTCCATTTATATCTATCTGCATAGGTGAATTAGTTACCCAAAGGGAGGCATTGTCCTGCGCCCTGTTGCAGCTGCCGCTGTTGACCTCTGGCCTGGGGCCAAGGCCTCCTGCCCCTTCTGGTGTAGGGAGCAAGGTCACCAGGCGGCCCCGGCCCTGCACGCTGGCTGGCGGCTGCCGCGGGCACCTCGCAGCTTGGGACTCCTGCCCTTGCACATGGGGCAGGGCAGCCTCTCGCCCCCTCCGCCTTTTCTGATGAGGCCGTGAACCCGGGGGGCGCCCGGGTCAGAATTTCCCGGGACACTGGCTGCCCAGCTGGGTAGCGCGGCCGGACCCGGAGCTCCACCCTCCTCCCATCACGGCATCTCTTGGCTTCGCAGAGAAAATCGAGCGAGTGCCCAAAACAAAACCCTGGACGCCAGGAACACCCTCAAGCTGTGGAAAAAGGCCTATTTTGACACCCGGGCCAAGATAGAGGCCTCGGGGAGGGAAGCTCGGTGGGAGTTTGACCGGAAGCGGCTGTTCGAGAGGACGGATTACATGGCCACCATCTGCCAGGACCTGTCCGACATTCTGCAGGTAGGGGCTGGGCGAAGGCCGGCGGAATTTGCCCCATGGAAGGCAGTTGGCGTTTGACAGTGGCCCTCTCCATGTCAGGTAGGAGCTGGGCGTCAGAAAGGGCCTGGCAGGGAGAAGCCCTTCAAAGAAAGAACATAGGGAATATACTAGAATGGACCAGAGTACACCAGAGCTTTGCAACTTTTTGTTGCTTTCCCTGACATTCCTCCGTACCCCTGCTTTTTGGCTTTCCTTTGACTGTTTTTTTTTTTTTGAGACGGAGTCTGGCTCTGTCGCCCAGGCTGGAGTGCAGTGGCCGGATCTCGGCTCACTGCAAGCTCCGCCTCCCGGGTTTACGCCATTCTCCTGCCTCAGCCTCCTGAGTAGCTGGGACTAGAGGCGCCCGCCACTTCGCCCGGCTATTTTTTTGTATTTTTTAGTAGAGACGGGGTTTCACCGTGTTAGCCAGGATGGTCTCGATCTCCTGACCTCGTGATCCGCCCGTCTCGGCCTCCCAAAGTGCTGGGATTACAGGCTTGAGCCACCGCGCCCGGCCTCCTTTGACCTTTTTGGCCACTCCTTCTCCATGTCTTTTGCAAAGCTCCCCTCCTCTGTCTTCTCCTTAAATGTCGGAATCCCTCGGAGGCCAGTCTGAGACCTCTCTCACTCTCTCCCTAAGCCAGGCCCAGTCTTCCTGGAACTCCATGAGTAGACAAAGTGCCGAGTGGCCAACTGAATTAGCCACGGCCCTTGTCTCCTGAAGGTTCACCCACCCCTTCGTTCTAAATACATTCATGGAGAACTCACTGTGTTCTGGGCACTCAGATGTCTAGAGGAACCACGGTGAGTGCAAAGCAGGGCCGGCTGTGGTGTGGCAGCGCCCCGCACTGGAGGGAAGTGATGCCCTGTGCTCAGGGGCAGGAAAAAAAATGCTGTAAAAAGAATTCAGGTAGGCTAGGCATGATGCATGATGGCTCACACCTGTAATCCCAGCACTTTGTGAGGCTGGGGTGGGAGGATCCCTTGAACCCAGGAATTTGGGACCAGCCTGGGCAACATAGCAAGACCCTGTCTATAAAAAATACAAAAATCAGCCAGGTGTGGTGGTGCACACCTGTAGTCATAGCTACTCAGGAGGCTGAGGTGGGATGTTGGCTTGAGTCTGATAGTTTGAGACTGCAGTGAGCCATGGTCACGCCAGTGTACTCCAGCCTGGGCAACAGAGTGAGACCTTGCTTCAAAAAAAAAAAAAAAAAAAAAAAAGAATAAAAAACATAAAGCTTTTTTTGGCTGGGTGCAGTGGCTCAAACCTGTAATCCCAGCACTTTGGGAGGCTGAGGTGGGTGGATCACAAGGTCAGGAGTTCAAGACCAGCCTGACCAACATGGTGAAACCCCGTCTGTATGAAAAATACAAAAATTAGCTGAGTGTGGTGGCGGGCGCCTGTAATCCCAGCTACTTGGGAGGCTGAGGCAGGAGAATTGCTTGAACCCAGGAGGCAGAGGTTGCAGTGAGCTATGCCACTGCACTCCAGCCTGGGCGACAGAGCGAGACTCTGCCTCAAAACAAAAACAAAAACAATTTAACCTCTGTGTGAAATCACTGTAGCTAGTGTGTGCACGGGTATTTCATTGTTACCAGAACAGTGGAAACACTGCACAGAACTACCTCAGTGGCTTATCATCTCACCTCTTGTTTTTCTTTGTGAGACAGAGGGTCTCGCTCTGTCACCCAGGCTGGAGTGCAGTGGCGCGATCTTAGGTCACTGCAACCTCTGCCTTCCAGGTTGAAGTGATTCTCCTGCCTCAGCCTCCTGAGTAGCTGGGATTACAGGCATGCACCACCACCCCTGGCTAATTTTTGCATTTTTAGTAGGGACAGGGTTTGCCAGGCTGGTCTTGAACTCCTGGCCTCAACTGAAATGCCCACCTCAGCCTCCCTGAAGCACTTTCCACTGCAAATGCAAAGTCCCTGAGGCAGAAAGGGACATGGCCTTGGAGGAAGGCGTGGGTGGCTGCAATGCGGGGAGGAACAGACAGGCGCAGACCCAGATCTATCCTATGTGCCTTGGGCATAGTACTGAAGGGCTTAGTCAGGGAGGAGGTTACTGTGTGACATGATTCTTGCCCCAAGGTCAATCTAGATATGCTATCCATGTGTAGTTCTAATGTTCACAGGAAAACCCATATGTAATCTCCTCATTGTTCCGTTTGATTGGACAGGTTTTGGAGGAATTTTATAACATATTTGGTCCAGAACTAAAGGCAGTGACGGGGGACCCCAAACGCATTGACGATGTCCTGTGCAGGGTGGACGGCCTAGTCACCCCCATGGAAAACCTGACCTTTGACCCCTTCAGCATCAAGTCCTCCCAGTTCTGGAAATATGTGATGGATGAATTCAAGATTGAAGTTCTGGCAAGTGACCCATCTATTGAGTCCATCTTGGGAGTGGACACCATGTTTTCTCTGTGTTAAATTTGCTGGGTTATTTAGTGATGCTTAGGGTCTTTTTTTTTTTTTTTTAAATCACAAGTAATACCTGCTTATTAATTGTAAAAAACAAAAACAATACAGAAGTGCATAAGGTAAAAATGAACATTCCTCAATCTTCTTTGTCCCCACACCCAAACCATGGGATAAGTTTAAGTTGAGCTAGACACAGTAGCATTTCTACAAAGTTTGTTTTGTCCGATATAAGTTCACCTGTCTAGGAGTGAAGTTAGGTGAACTTCACTACAAACCAGATATGGCAAGAGAATCACAAAGCACCCTGTGAGGTTTTGAGAATTGTGTTTTGTCAGAAGACTGAGGGCATGGAGAGCCGATTGGAAACAACCTTTGGGATTGGGGAAGCTTTGGACGGGGGAAATGAGGACGAGGAAGGAGGCTGAGACAGCGGAGGGGGTTTCAAGTCAGAGGAACAGTGTAAATGAAGGTGACAGACCTGAGAAAAACAGGAATTGTCCGAGGCAGAGCAAACAGAGGGGTTTGGCATAACACATATGGGTAGTAGAGGGAAATCAAGCTAGAAAGATGGGTTGGGTGAATAATTGGTGATGAACAAAGAGTACTAGAGTGAGGAAGGAGACTTACTTCAGTAGGCAATAGGGCACCATAGAAGGTGGTTGACCAAGGAATGATATAGCCAGAATTATAGGTCAGATGTAGCGGCTCATGCCTGTCATGCCAGCACTTTGGGAGGCTGAGGAGAGAGGATTGCTTGAACCCAGGAGTTTGAGACCAGCTTGGGCAACCTGATGAGACACCCGTCTCTACAAAAAAACTTAAAAAAAAATTAGCCAGGCATGGTGGCTCCTTCCTGTAGTCCCAGCTACTCAGGAGCTGAGGGGGCAGGATCCCTTGAACCTGGGAGGTTGAGGTTGCAGTGAGCTGGCTGAGATCACACCACTGTACTGTAGCCTGGGGGACAGAGTAAGATTCTGTCTCAAAAAAAAAAAAAAGTGAAAAAAACAAAATCAAGGTTTATACTTCAGGAAGATTTCTCTGGCTACAGCATAGGCTGCTTGGGCTAGGGAACAACAGAGAGTGGGGAGATGATATAGGAGGTGATAACCTGAGGTGCTGGGGAGGCAGAGTCCATCAGAGAGAGGCTGCAGCTGAGAATCAGATTTCACTTCCCACAGCAGGAAGAGTGACCCATCGTGCTCACCTTTTCAGTCTCATGTAGGAAGCATGATTAGGAGCATCCCTATTTATGTCTTACACAGTTGTTTTTATAACCTCACAGCATCTTTTTATATGGAAAACCCTAGATAGTTCTACTTGGTTATATAGACATTACCATGTTAACAGTATCTAATTTTATCAGCTGCTATTTTTTTTTTTTTTTTTTTTTTTGAAACGGAGTCTCGCTCTGTCGCCCAGACTGGAGTGCAGTGGCATAATCTCGGCTCACTGCAAGCTCTGCCTCCTGGGTTCACACCATTCTCCTGCCTCAGCCTCCCATGTAGCTAGGACTACAGGTGCCCACCACTGCCCCCGGCTAATTTTTTGTATTTTTAGTGGAGATGGGGTTTCACCGTGTTAGCCAGGATGGTCTCGATCTCCTGACCTCGTGATCCGCCCGTCTCAGCCTCCCAAAGTGCTGGGATTACAGGCGTGAGCCACCGTGCCCGGCCTATCAGCTGCTATTTTGTGTTATTTGCTTTTTCAGTTGAAGCTTTTTTGATTTTCTTTTATTATCTTTTATTTTTTAGAGACAGGGTCTTGCTCTGTTGCTCAGGCTAGAGTGCAGTGGTGTAATCCTGGCTTACTGCAGCCTCAACTTTCTGAGCTCAAGTGATCCTTCCACCTCAGCCTCCCAAGTAGTTGGGAGCACAAGCATGTGTCTGGCTAATTTCTAAAATTTTTAAATGGAGATGAGGTTTCACTATGTTGCCCAGGTTGGTCTTTAACTCCTGGCCTCAAGTGATCCTCCTGCCTCAGCCTCCCAAATAAATTGAACTTTTCATCAAAGTCACTTAATCAAGTGATACTGAAGGATTCATAATAAGAAAAAGCAGCCCATGCTTAACTCCTTCCTCATTCTTGCTGTCATTTTCCACAATTTTAGATGTTTCTTTTGTTGTTAACCCCCATATTTTGTTAAGAACAAGCCGATGTGGTTATTTCCTGATTTATTAATTTAGGCTTCTGTTAACTTCTCAGAGTAGATACAGGCTGGACTCTCCCGTTCCTAATCCCATTTGCCTCTTTGTCATCTAACACAGTTTCTTCATAACTTTTAGTTAAATTAATGGCTAGTGTTTACTTATTATTTCTATGCAAATATTGTTCACTGCTGAGCTGGGAAGTCCATCAAAACTACAATACCTTTCTTGGCCAACCCTTCAACTTTCCTGGAGTTTATAATTGCTTTTGTTTTTTATTCGCCTGGTTATTTATGTACCCATTGTTAATTTTTTCCAACTTCTTTAATATCTCTGTCACATACCTATCAATAGCAGGCTCTAAATACTTAAAATATATCAGTGCCATTATTTACCTAGAGGCCTTCCTCCCAGAGCTCACTGTCCTCCTATTCTAGTCTAGCTTGTTCTCTCTTTCTTTCTTTCTTTCTTTCTTTTTCTTTCTTTCCTTCCTTCCTTTCTTTCTTTTCTTTCTTTTCTTTCTTTTCTTCATTTCTTGACAGAGTTTCGCTCCTGTTGCCCAGGCTGGAGTGTAATGGCGAGATCTTGGCTCACTGCAACCTCTGCCTCCAAGGTTCAAGTGATTCTCTTGCCTCAGCCTTCTGAGTAGCTGGGATTACAGGTGCATGCCACCATGCCCAGCTACTTTTTGTGTTTTTTAGTAGAGACACAGTTTCACCATGTTGGCCAGGCTGGTCTTGAACTTCTGACCTCAAGTGATCCACCCATCCCGGACTCCCAAAGTGCTGGGATTACAGGCATGAGCCACCACACCTGGCCAGCTTGTTTGCTTTTTAAGCCTGTTACAAAGCAGTCTAGGACCCTAAGACTTCCTATCTTCTCTCATCTGTGTTGGATTTTCTATTTTCTAGATCTCACTTCTTCCTCTTTCCTTGTTTACTCCTTCATTTTGCTGGAGCACATTTAGTAGCTTCCTAAGTAAGGTTTCATGAGACATATATTTTTTGAGTCTTGTATGTATGAATTCTGAAATAACAGGTATAGAATTCAAAGTTGAAAATAACTTTTCTTTAGAAATTTGAAGTTTTTTTATTGATTTCTAGCTTCCAATATTAGAAGTCTGATGTTATTCTTGAGTTAATTTTTCTAGAACTAACCTTCCACTCTTTTATAGAATGGAGTGAGAATGGGAGGGATTGAGGCTGCAGAGTGGCCTGACTGTGCAGGGTGAGAAAGGGATTCCCTGTTTGCCCCTCACCTTCATGCACACTGACCCCCTTCCTGGGGCCCAGTGCCTCCAAATGTTAAGCCTTCTGGAGTTTGTCTTCAAGGAATAAACAGGGACTCACTTGCGCACCCTATTTTCAGCATTAGGTTGTAACTACCTGCCTTAGTTACTTTCTTTCTTTCTTTCTTTCTTTTTTGGGAGGGAGTCTCCCTCTGTCACCCAGACTGGAGGGCAGGGGTGCAATCTCAGCTCACTGCAAGCTCCGCCTCCTGTGTTCATGCCATTCTCCTGCCTCAGCCTCCCGAGTAGCTGGGACTACAGGTGCCCGCCACCACACCTGGCTAATTTTTTGTATTTTTGTATTTTGTATTTAGTAGAGACAGGTTTTCACCGTGTTAGCCAGGATGATCTCGATCTCCTGACCTCGTGATCTGCCTGCCTCGGCCTCCCAAAGTACTGGGATTAGAGGTGTGAGCCACTGCACCCTGCCCTGCCTTACTTAAAATTCCTGAACTATCTCCTCTGTTGTTGTGTTCTTTCCCGTATGTTTTGTTTATATGAGTTAATACTTTAAAAAATTCCTTTACCTTTCAACTGGTTGGGGAGCGAGATCAGGAAATCAACATAACCAGTCTGCCACTTTAAATTGGATACCAGCCTCCATTAATGTGCCGTAGAAATCTGTCCCAAGCCACTGAGTTTTTTTTTCTCTCATTTCTTGCCACTTTATTTTGGCAGGATAATTACAGGGGCATGAAGGTTGTTTTCTTGATTTTTTTGCAGGTTATTGAGAAAGAAGCAAAACATTTTATTGATGAATCTTTTAAGACGCTTCGATCCGCTGAAGCAGCATTTGACATGCTTTTAAAATTTAAGCACATTCGTTCACGGGAGGCTGTTAATCGACAAATGATGATGAAATTTAATGATATTCTTGCACAGTACTGTAAAGAGGTAATTGAAAAATCGATAGCTGCCATAGCATTAAAAATACACTTGGCAAAATGTGAACAATTGAATTCCACTGTTGTCTGTCTTTCCCATCTGAATTCAGAGAAACTAGAATTTCCCCAAATTAGCATGTTACATAATACAGGTAACCCAAACAAAGTGGGTTTGTTTATTTAGTGGAAAAATTCAATAAGAATTAAGTATATTATGATTTACTCACATTGTGGTGGGCCCTGTATGGGTTAATAATAATCATGGTAATAATAGTAATCATAGTTAACCATGTCCAAGGATCATATATGTATTTATAATTAACTCGGAACAATTTACCTGGTGCTCGCATATCTCAAGTATGGTGTTAGGCACAGAGATAGAGAGATGAACAAAACACGGATTCTGCCTTTAAAGAAGTCAGTATCTAGTTGGAGAAATAGACCAAAAAATGCTTATAATCTGCTGGGCACAGTGACTCATGTCTGTAATCCTAGCACTTTGGAAGGCCGAGACTGGTGGATTGCTTGAGTTCAGAAGTTGGAGACCAGCCTGGGCAACAGAGCAAAACTCCATTTCTACAAAAAATACAAAAATTATCCTGGTGTGGTGGCGTACGCCTATGGTCTCAGCTACTTGGGAGGCAGAGGTGGGAGGATCACCTGGGCCAAGGGAGGTCAAGGCTGCAAGTGAGCCATGATCTTGCCACTGTACTCCAGCCTGGGCAACAGAATGAAGCCCTGTCTTAAAAAAAAAAAATGCTGGCCAGCCGCCGTGGCTCATGCCTGTAATCTCAGCACCTGGGGAGGCCGAGGCAGGTGGATCACTTGAGGTCAGGAGTTCGAGACCAGCCTGGCCAACATGGTGAAACCCCCTCTCTACTAAAAATACAAAAATTAGCCAGGCATGGTGGTGGTGCCTGTAATCCCAGCTACTCAGGAAGCTGAGGCAGGAGAATCACTTGAACCTGGGAGGTGGAGGTTGCAGTGAGCTGAGATTGCGCCATTGCATTCCAGCCTGGGTGACAAGAGCAAAACTTTGTCTCGAAAAGAAAAAAAAAAAAAAAGAAAAAAATGCTTATAATCTTATTTAGAAGACAAAATGAGAATATGTGGAATGATTAGATGAGTATAAGGTAGTACAGAAAAAGGCCTAAGGTGGTCTCCTGATGCCTTAGTTTCTCAATGCTTCTGGAACTAATGACCACAGATGTAGTGACTTAGAATAACACAGATTTATTCTCTTACGGTTCTGGAGGTCAAGAGTTTGCCATGGGTGCTCCTGGGTTTGAATCAAGGTGTCAGCAGGGCTGTATTCCTTTCAGGAGTCTCTAGGGATGATTCAGTGTGTAGCCCTCCCCAAATTCTAGAAGTTTTGGCTCCCTTTCATCTTCAAAGCCAGCAGTGGTCACTTTCACATCAAATCACTGTGACCTTTTCTGCCTCCACTTCCTGGTTTAGGACCCTTGTGATTACATAGGACCTCCCCAGAAAATTCAGGATAATTTCTCTATTTTAAGATCAGCTGGCTGACAATGTTAATTCCATCTGCAACCATAATTCCACTTTGTCATGTGACATTACATATTTTCAGCTCCTGGGGATTAGGATGTGGACATCTTTGGGAGGCCATCATTGTGCCTGCCACACCTAATTACCCTCATGAGAGCTCAGACATGCTTCTTTTAAAAACACAGGTCTGGTGACTGTAGTCAATAATAATTGTACATTTAAAAGTAACTAAGAGTATTAATTGGATTGTTTATAACACAAAGGATAAGTGCTTGAGGATATGGACACCCCATTCTCCATGATGTGGTTATTACGCATAGCATGTTTGTATCAAAACATGCCCTATACCTCATAAATATATATACTTTACCCACAAAAATTAAAAACTAAAAATTAAAAAAACCCCAAAGGTCTGCCACTGTGGTCATGTCTAGAACAGATTTCAGGATTTCTAATAATTGGATCAAACCAATATACACCGTGGTTATGCTCTGTAATTGTAAGGCAATTTGGAGCATTGCATATGTTAAAGAAAAGATTACTACAGCCAGGCTTGGTGGCTCACGCCTCTACTCCCAGCACTTTGGGAGGTCGAGGCAGGCAGATTACCTGAGGTCAGGAGTTCAAGACCAGCCTGGCCAACATGGTGAAACCCCATCTCTACTAAAAATATAAAAATTAGCTGGGTGTGGTGGCGTGGGACTGTAATCCCAGCTGCTTGGGAGGCTGAGGCAAGAGAATCACTTGAAACTGGGAGGCGGAGGTTCCAGTGAGCCGAGATCACACCACTGTACTCTGGGCAACACAGTGAGACTCCATCTCAACAACAACAAAACAGATTACTACAGAGCATAAGAAAAAGTAGTAAATAATAAGTAAACAGTGAAAACACTATTCTGCATCTTAGAATATTTTTTGACATTCCACTTTTGGTTTCCTTAAATATTCAAATATTGGCTGGGCGCAGTGGCTTATGCCTGTAATCCCAGCACTTTGGGAAGCCGAGGCGGGCGGATCATGAGGTCAGGAGAT